AACGAGGTGCCTGAGGCTTCCTCCCAACTGTGGCAGAAGTCTTCGTATTTTGTTTGGCAGCCCCTAGACAATAAATTGCTGTCCCGTCCACGTTCAGTCTGTCTCTCTGGGTGCATAAGGCTAAAGGCCAACCCCAAATAGCGGACCGACAACCAAACCACCAGAGAGCAACTCATCGAACTAAAACTCAAATTCCAGGCGTGATTGGTCTCTAGAAGCTTCCACACGGATGCTTCGGTTACGCACCCGCGTTGAATTCATGCCCCACTACCTTGTGGGTCAGACTTTTGAGTCAAAGGCTTCGGTTACGTTTCCCAGAGAAAAAGTTCTCCGTCAATGTGGGCTACCGCGAAGTATGCCGTGTCCTGAAGTCTCAGCCACCCATTTGGAAAATCCTCCTCACCTGTCCAGTTCTTCCACTCGCTCCCAAATCTCAAGAGATAGCTTCTGTTTGCTCAACCCATGGGTATCACTCATCTTTCAACTAGTAAGGTCAATCAACTAGAACCCATCAGATTGTTGAAACCAAAATCTCCTTTCCACTTAGCCACATATAAAGTCCGCATACTTTAACAGATCGGTTAACAAGCTGCCTTAGCTAGAATCCTTGAGACTTTCAATCTAGATGTACATTGTCTCCGAAACACCCGTACAATACCCTACTTCAACCGTCACCTTGCGATCTTTAGATCTGACCTCATTTTCACGCTTCGCACTCCGTGTGTAAGACGACCTGGTATACGAAGCTCGGGGTGTTGTTGGTGTCGGGATTGCGCCAAGGGTCAAGGCAGAGCGTTCATTTCTTGACTGGGTTCCGGTCCATAGCCAGCTTCACGCTGTACTTGTCGACGGCTCATAACGGGTCAATAGCTACAGAAAGAAGCGTTGGTGCTGAAAAGTCGTGTCCTTGTATGCATCGACTGATTGTAGTGTGCCTGAAGTCAATGATGAATTCTACAAGGACATCTCTCAACTGCTCCCAAGTACTCGATCCATGAATACCGTAGTAGTCGGAGACCTCAGTGTTCAAGTGGGATCCCTGGACGAATCGGAAACGCTTCTTGGTGGTTCACGTGCAATCCTAGCTAAACAGGTCAACTACATAACCATCAGACAGCAGGCGAGGACCCATTGAAGACTGTCGCTCCTACTGGTCAACACCGGTGGACACGGACCATGGTCTGCTACGAGCCAGATTCTCCCTTTCAATATTAAACAACCAAAAACGGATCCCCACAATACAGTATCAGCAATGGTTGCGAATTGGCCTTCGAAGAGGAATTATCTGGTTGCCTTTTAGTTCGACCATCGGCCGAAGGACTCGGTGAAAACTGAAAGTTAATCAAGGAGATTGTTCAAATATCAATCAAAAAACGGCGGATTCTGGCACACGATCAAAGTAAAAACGATGGATCTCATCAGGTAAACTGCATGCTTTTCTGGGTAGTTTCAGTGCTAGTGTAATCATGTTCGGTTTTCGTTTTGCACCTTCGACGTATAAAATGTTGCTACAATATTGGTTGCGGCCAGCACCCATCCTCACTCTGACTAAGGAAGCAGTAGGGAAAGTAGACAGGTTTTGCTATCTAGACAACCAAATCCCTGTCGGCGGACGAACGACGGATGAAGTGTCGGCACGCATACGAAAGGCTCGATTGGCATTTGTCAACTTCAGACATCTGTGACGCCGTCGCGACGTCCGACTGTCTATAGAAGGTCGAGTGTGCTGTAGCAGCTCAACTAGTGTTGCTTTACTGTGCAGCCTTGGCAATTACGGAAACGAGGAAGATAGAATGTCTGTGTTCGAACACCACTGCCTAGGTCACACTGCATGAGTATGGTGGGAAAACCAGACGAGTGATGCCGAGGTTAGACGCAGTTTTAGGTAATCGCGATCGTTGACTTGAGCAAGTGTTCAACCTCCATAGACTACGCTGGTTGGCAGATGTATTGCGCGTCACCAAATAGGTTACCATGGCACGTGATGTTTTTCGAGGCAGGCAGCAGATGGGAAAAGGTTAAGAGCAATTAAATTAAGGCCTGACATGAGGATAAGAAAACCCCCAACCAGGAGACTAGGTCACACAGGTTTCGTTAGGCTCCCTGGATGGGGACCCCGAGATCACGATCATCGATGGTTGGGGACACAGAGTTCTGGCTCAGCGACGCAAACAGTGGTGTTCATGCATCTACTCATTATTGTTGTAACTTCTGTCTATAAGAATTCGCTATCTTTCGCTTGAATTTGCTCTCAATATTCCAGTTGGTTTATTTTTCCGCTCCAGATGCCTCTTCGCTCCAGTACACCTACTATTGCACAAAAGGCCAAATTCGCCCTGCTCTTGAATACTGTAGTCACGCGTGGGATGGGTTTCGTCCGCCGCCCTTTTCCATTTTGATTGTGTTCAACAAACAGCCATCCGACTAACCCATTATCTCTCCTTAACTTCTAACTTGCAGTAACTGGCCCATCATCGGGCAGTTGCTTCAGTATTCCTTCATTAAGTTTATCTCCAAGAGTTTAGGTAGATGACTGTTCGCATGTCCCTCTAGATACTTTTTGAGTCCTACATGGACCCCGTTTGAGCGTTAAAGTGGATGGTGACATCACCAGTGTGTGATGAACAGGGGACCGGGGCGGACCCCCTAGTCACGGAGACCTACTGTTCAGTGATGGTAACCGACAACCTGATCCCCGGAACTTTGAGTGGCGAACCGCATAAGACACCGCTAGATAAGGCATGATATAGAACCGGACGACAGCAAATCTGTTTACCACCAAAGTTGGGCGGCGGTGGCGCGGCTCGAACCTCGGACCACAGGGTCCAAAGCACGCCGGTGACAGCGACTAAATCACTGGGCTACCGCCACCCAAATTAAAATTTATGTCCATCCATTGCAGCATTAGAGAGAAGTCACTGTAGAACTCATTCCTCGTACCAGACGAACAGCAGTCGGTCGATAAAGAGAGACAGTTACACAGTCAGTTATACATTGAATAGTTTGTAAAACAATAACGCTACACTTTCGCAGGTTGATTTCAGTTTACATCTTTTTCGTCACCAGTCGACCAATTAGAAAAACAAGCAGAGTCGTAGCAAGATAAAAAAAATACAGAATTCAAGTTAAGCACATATACGAAAATTAAGTGCACAAGTGTAGCTGTTTACGTCACTTATCCATATTGCCTGGTCTCGCACCACAGGTTAGGATTGCCAAAAGATCTCAAACAAGGGAGTTTAACGCTAACTACATTACCTACGAACCCATGAAGTACCTTAGGAGTATGATATGAAGCACTATCTGCGATGTCCTTAAGGTATGGAATGGGATGTGCGCAACGAGGGATCCCCTCCCATTCAACCCTCGATAGTGAGCTACTGATTTCAAACTGTATGAACAGGTGACAATTCTCATTCACAGCTATTCTTATGCCACAAAGATAGAAACCAAAATTAGGATCTGGAGACCTGCAGTTTCCCAAGAGTCTACGGGACTATACTCCAAGTTCAAACTTTCTATTGTTCTACTTGTAACTACTTGTACAGGAGTAATCCCACGTTGGTTGGTCTACCGTTAGTGTACCGACTCTTGAGGTGGTCGACAACGCTCTGGACGTTCGTCACTGTAGCTGGAGGGGAATTCTATTGTTGTTCACTTCTTTCGAGGGAGGCGGGCGACAATGATTTAAAGAGGTGTTTGGATAAGTACCTTTAGGAACCTTGGAGGAACGATAACATGCGATTGGTCCTCTGACCCAGTGGTGATTTTGATTTCAGAGACACCTTGTCCCCAGCCCTCGCAACTGAAAACAGACTACATACCTATCTATATCAATGATCTCCCTAAGCTTTCTTCTGTAGAGATTGCCAGTCGAGCGGATGTCACATGGGGCACAGACGCATTCAAAGTGCAGTCGGCAACTGACCGAGCCAAAACTGGTTAGTCGATTGGAGTTTACCAATTAATAATGGAAAATGTTTTACCATGTCCTTTGGTAACTCTCCTGGGTAAGCGGTTCAATCCGAATCCAGGTGGATCAGCACGAAATTCTCGGTTTCTGGCTGAATAGAAACCTCTCGTTTTCTTCTCATGATCATAAAGCCAGTGAATCCGCATTTCGTTTCTTAAACCCCATTAAACGCTCCTTCCCGCGTATAACCAAAGAGGACTCTCCTTTCTTGTATGGGGCATAAATAAACCCGCATTTAGAATATGGCAGCCAAATTGTACATTCTGGCCTTATTCGCGATCGCGACTCTCTTGAACGTGTGAAACGAAAGGCCACGAAACTAGCACCTGGCTTGTCAGAAATCCGTTATCCTACCCGGCTTAATCAGCTAAATCTATATCCCTTAGATATACGACGTATCAGACGGGATCTATTTCTACTTTATAACCTCGCTTCAGGCCTAGTTGACTACTTTTTCACACGATCTAGCCTGGAACATCTACGGGATACCTAAGAAGGCTTTTCCAACACCGGCCCAGAATCTCCAATTGCTCCAGTTCCTTCATTCACAGGGTCATCTCAGAATGGAATAAACTTGCACAAGATATTGTGAATTCCTCCTCCAAAAGGGTCTTTAAAACCCTGCTTACTCGCATCCATGACTCACCCTTCCCAAGAACTAATTGGCCTATATCTTCTGAAGGGCATCTACACTTTTACTTGCTTCCTCCTCTTACCCCTTCTTATCATTCTGTCTTTCCTCCTCTCCCTTTTTTCCCAATGCATGTAACCTCAACCTAGCGGCCCTATAGTGGAGCTAGCACTTCTCCAACAACCTCGCTTTCATCTCGTGCAAAGAACAGCAGAGAAAATACAAACACAGAACCGGGTCAATTGGGTGAAGGCCTCGAACCCGAGTACTACTTGAAGACTAAGGATAAGACTACTGTTAAACAATTGCGCTCTTCAAAAGAACGATCAAACGAGTGAATAGAACATTGTAACAGATTGAGTATCCGGAAATTTCATTTGCGGCAGTGTAACTTACCGTGCCTGCAGTATCCAAGATTTCCAACATACATTGTTTGCCATCGACTTCCGTTTGTTTTCGATAACTATCCTCAATGGTAGGATCATATTTTTCAACAAATATTCCTTGCACGAACTGCACAGTTAGAGCACTTTTCCCGACGCCACCACTGCCTAAAACAACCAATTTGTATTCCTGCATTGTGAGCCCCGAACACGGAAGCGTCGGTACTACGCCCGGGCTACTGGTCCAAAATGTGGTTTCTTTGAAATTACGACCTTCAGTCAGTCAGTCAGTCAGTCAGTTTGCACAGGACAGGAGATGGCCACGGCCAATCGAGCGTCCATATTTCCTCCGGTAGTAAACTCCGTTCCGGCCCCTACCACTGCGGGTGTTCTATATTACAGTTCTACACGTTTTCTTGACGCGCAAACATCCACAGACTGGGGGACCACCTGCACCCAGGACCATCACCTAGGCAAACCCTCTGACCATCGAAAGGGTTACGGAAATAAGGGACTTAGGCGTGAATATTCACGATTCATTTAAGTCGTCTTCCCAATGTGTTATTGCAGCAAGCAAAGCACAAAGGGCTGTGTATCAACTACGGAGGACAATAGATTCCAGAGCTCCTCAAGTCCTCATACCCCTGTACAAGGCAATAGTCAGGCCGCACATTGAGTACGCTGTGCAAGCTTGGGCTCCTGCCCTAAAGAGAGATCAACAACGTTTAGAGAATGTCCAGCGAAGTTTCACAAAGACCATTGCAGGCTTGAGAGACACTCCATACGAAGAGAGGCTAAGGACCTTAGGACTTTTTTCCCTCCGTCGAAGGCGGCTTCAGGGGCGATCTTATCGAAGTGTTCAAACAGATGAAAAGCTGTCCAATACTTCCTTGCCTCTATTCACGCTGGAATAGAGCTCTGCTACAAGAGGACATCGCCTCAAACTGAAGAAGCCCAGGGCACTAAAAAGCGTGAGAGCAAACTTTTTTCTCACAGGAATCATTAACCAATGGAACAAGCTGCCGGAGCCGTTGTGTCATCCCTAACGGTAGCCCAATTCAAGGCCAGATTGGATAAGGCGTGGACATCACTATTCCCCACCGTTATCTAGGACCCCTTACTCCCATGAACTATCTTATCTTCCACACTCCAAATTCTACCGT